GCAGGGGGAGTGCACCACCCCCTGCAGCATCGGGGAGGGGGGGTACCATCACGGCCGCCCCCCAGACATGCGCCGCACACCCCCGAACCACGCCAGGCACCACATCCCCACGGAAGGCATGCCACGCCCCGGGGATGCACGTCACACCCCCTGGGATGCGCGCCAGTCATGCCCCTGCCTGATCTCCGCTCCCGCCACTGCCAAGAAGTCTCCCTCTGCTGATCTTAACACCAGAGATGGTTTGTATAGAAGGAATAGGTCTTTCAGATATTTTGGACCAAAGTCACTGAAGGCTTTAATATGAGCATCCTGAATCGGGCCCCAAAAAAGAACTGGCAAGCTATGCAGCTATTTTAAAACAAGGGGTTATACAAGTTCTAAATGGAACTCCAGTCTGCAATCTGGCCACTGCATTTTGGACCGGTTGTTGTTTCTGAGTTATCTTTCAAGGCGGCCTTAAACGTATTACAATGCAAAAGATATTACAACATTACAATCATCCAGTGTGGAAGTTATCAGAGCATGGAGTACATTGGCGAAGTCATTTCTGGGCCATAGTTGGAGAACCATCCAGAACTGGAAAAAGGCAATTCTGGTTACTGAGGTCACCTGAACCTCCCCAGGGACAGTGCTGGATCCAGGATCACCCACAAGTTATGAACCCGCTCTTTCTAGGAGGGTGCATTCCCATGTGTTTGGCATCAAGCACATTTTCATTAGACAGAGTGAGATGGCTGAATTATGGTGGTGGAGAACAGTGGTGAAATGATGGAGAAAAGAACTGTGTATCACACACAACATGCCCTGGGTCTTCTCAGCTAAGCTAGACTGATGCCCTTAGTAGGCCTGTCCTTTCCCTAGAGTTGAAGTAAGTCCTGTTTGCCTTCTGCTCACAGAAATGTGTGTGCACATATGCAACGTTAACCTTTGACCTGAGCAGCAAAATGTCTTGGGCTAGCCCTGAAGCCATGGCACCATGATTATAGTTGTTTATACTTATTTATAACCGCAATACGATGCTTTTATCCAAGCAGGTTTAAATCAATTGATTGTTTTCCTCCACTGCTGTTAGTCACATGAAAAAGGTGTGGAATATGACCTTTAATAGCTTCGAGTATCCCAAAGCCATAAAAAAGGCTGCCAAGCAAACAACTGAGGTATAGGAAAGCCTAGAGAAACCATCCTCTTTTCATTTGAGCCAACACAATAGCATTGCTATAGCATCACACTATTGGCTTGACATTACCAATCAGCCATTGGGGTGGCGGCCAGCAAGGACCTTGGATTCGGTCCTCAAATCTCCCCAAAGAGGTGTCTAGAGCAGTCAAAACCTAACAGTATTTACCATCTGTTAAGGAAAGCCTATCTGGACTTCTTCCAGTGAGATCCACATTGCTCATCGCAGCCTTGGCTTCTGGAGTTCTTTACCTCATATCACACCTGCTCTGTGGACATAGGTTGCCCTCGCTAGACAAGCAGACATATCTCATTGCAACTGCACACTTAACTGATGAGAAGTTTTGGCAATGTTGTGATTTAAATTGATCTACAGCAACATTAAATGTAACATTGGGGACATGTAGGCCTGTTGTCTCAAATAACTTGTGAATAACATTTCCTGCAAATCAGTGGGATTACTTCAGAAAACATGGTCTGAGAAGTCTGGCTTCCCTTTATGCTCCAGGTATTTTTTAAAAAAATCACTTCCAAGAAGCCCCAACTAACCTGATTAGAATGAGCTCATTCATATTATGTAATGTTGATATGATCATGACAACACAGAGAAAACTATGTCCATATTGATATATCTCAGCCAGAATAATTAGGTTGCTATCCAGGCCATAATTCTCTGTTGGAGGGAGAAAAAACCCATAGTCATAATCATTCTTAAAGCTGATATGCTCCTAAAGTGAAAGACTTTGCCAAATGTTAAATTAATTCAATTTGGGATTTTTAAATGCTCTGGAATTCATAACAATTATTTAACAAACTTTCAGCAAGAACAATAGAATGCTTCATACTGTGCAAAGATATATATTTTAGGTAATAACTATAGTAATATTTGCTTGTAATAATGAATCCCAATTTTAGGATTTGCAAGATTTACAGCTATAACAGAGAGAGAGAGAGAGAGAGAGAGAGAGAGAGAGAGATTTGTGCGTTCAGTATGCTGGTAGGATTTGATTTACATATATGTCTTAAAGATTCAAGCCTGCTTTGAATCAAATGACAGTTTGATGTCAAACATGAAAGCAAATGGGTTGACATAGCCAGTAGAATCACAAGTGGCAATAAGCTGTGCCTTACAGGGAAAATCTTTGAAGAGGACTGCATTAGAAGGGAGACCAACCATTTTTTAATCCAAGAAATAGATTTCCCTGAAGCATATGATGAGACATGCATAGCACTAAGCGAGCTGTTCTTCCCATTCATCCTACTGCCCCATATCTTAAAGGCAGATATAAAAAAATCGGGTTTCAAAATTCTCAACCATTGCTGAGAGGTGAACCAGGTTAACAGGAGAAATACTGCATGTGAGCAAAGTATGGTTTTCACAGAACAAAGGGAGCAAATTTCTTCTAGGGAACCTTGGGTTGATAAGGAGCTTTCTTGGGTTTCTTCACCACCCTTTGTCCCCGACATTGGGCAGCCACCAGAGAAGATAACACACAATCTAAGGTGTATTCTCAGTTCACCTAGAACAACAGTGAAGCAACTGAAGAACTGGTTCCCATGGCAACTTATCATAACATGCACCTCATAAAGGATGTACCAGGCCAGACCCAGCCAACTGGTTTGACCAATTTTACTGTGCACCCTATAATATACACCAGAATCCTTTGCAATATATAAGTGATTTTGTGACAGACATTAACCTGTTCTTCAGTAGACAAACTGGAATGGAAAAAATTGCCTGAAGATAGAAAGACTGGAAGCCATTGCCTCAAGTTACAAAGGTGATAATGTATTACTCTACTTTTACTTTCTTGCAGCACACTTCAATAGTAGTAGTAGTAATTATTATTATTATTATTATTATTATTATTATTATTATTTATTATTTATACCCCACCCATCCAGCTGGGTTTCCCCAGCCACTCTGGGCAGCTCCCAACAGAGGACTAAAAACACAATAAAACATTGAATATTAAAAAGCTTCCCTAAACAGGGCTGCCTTCAGATGTCTTCTAAAAGTCAGATAGTTGTTTACTTCCTTGACATCTGATGTGAGGGTGTTCCACAGGGTGGGCGCCACTACCAAGAAGGCCCTCTGCCTAGTTCCCTGCAATCTCACTTCTCACAGTGAGAGAACTCCCCAGAAGGCCCTCAGCACTGGACCTCAGTGTCCGGGCTGAATGATGGGCATGGAGATGCTCCTTTTGCCTTATTATTGGGCTCCTTGTTCTTCTCTCATGAAGAATTCAGCTATTTCATTTTGGAGGTGTATACATGCCCTTTCATTGACAGCTAAATACTGCTTTAAAATTAAATGAGGGGGGGAGTGTATTCAAGAATGACACATTACTCAGCTATTTTTGTAAAGAGTTACTCTGAATCCAGAAACCATTTCATTTGAACACTGAAGCATGATCCTACTGGCGTGTTGGATCTTCCTTCAACAACTAAATTGGATTTAGTTCTGAACTATTCCTAAGGAAGCCGCTGGAGTTGAGACACTGCCAGTGGTAAACATCAGCAGGAAACTAGTGATAAAATTCTGGTGCAAATGCTTGATTCCTTGACGCTTTGAGAGAAAAAGGGTGCCTGATCTTTGGCTGCTTTCAAAGAGAACTAAAACAGTCATTAACGATCTAGTGTAATCATTAGTGACAGTGCTGTGTCCTACATTTCTTAGATCAGTAATATGAATCTCAGCAGCTCACAACACTTGTCTCAAATTATCAGCAAGCTCTTATCCAGTTCAGATTTTAATCTGATCCAAATCAGAAGCCCCGCCTCCCTCACCCTGATACCTACTCCCCTCTAAACACCCTCTCCTTCTTTTCCACCCACGGGGGGGGGGGGGCACACAGGGACGGTTGCCCCAGGTGCAAAATTGTCAGGGGGGGGATTTCAACACCCAGTGCTGACTCAATACAGCTGTGCACTGTATCTGGGCTCCATTGAAAACGGCTTCTCTGTGTGAACCAGGAAGTGACTTCTCCAGACAACATGCAACCCACACTATGCCACTGTACCACATTGTTTACAAGAAACTAAGTTTTTTTAGAAAACAGCACTGAGATACATTCTCAAAATTGACCGGAAACATATTGTTGCATGTCACCCCTATCTCTGAGCAGTGTGAGTTACCCAGGGTTCATGTTTCCTTCTGGGAATGAGGCACAGCAGAGACTATGGTGTCTTTGTGATATATGGTTTATTCACACACATATACATCCTGAGCCTACAATGGAGGAGTTCAAAGCCTCAACACTCAAAAAGGGTCTTGTATCTGTGAGTTGAGGGAAAGTCCCTCCTCATTTGCTGTCTCCCACAGAGCCCCTTTCTTTCTCCTTACACCTCAAAAAGTGGTGTATAAGTAGAAGTAATATGCACACAAACAATACATAAGCATAGGCTAAACTCCCTCCTCTTGAAATGGAGGAATGTAAAATGTGCTTATACAAGTATTTGGCTTGGACCATGGAGCACTGTTACATCAGCTCTGTCACTCTTGGCCCAACATAAGCAGAAAAGTCAACATGGCTATAACAGGGGCAGTAAATCTGTGACCTGCCACATGGTTGTTGGATTACAATGTCCCCATCATCCCTGACCATTGGCCATGCTGGCTGTGGTTTGGTGGGATCTGAACAACCTTTGGAGGACCACAGGTTCCCTATGTTAAGGATAAGGGTTCAACTTCCTGGAATGGGAATGTTTGCTTATGTTGAATTGTTGAAGTGTTTTTTAGCATGGGGTTTTTCCATTGGCAGTAGCGCTCTCATGTGATTGGCTAACTGTGAGTCACATGAGAGAGGCATTCCATTCTGTTGTGACTGTTATTCAAGTAACTGTCATTTTTAACTGTTTTCTGTTCTTTCTGTGTTTATGAAGGAGAATGGCTGATGAAAGAGTTTTCCCTGGATGCTGCAGAGGACGGTGTGTGTCAGTGTGGTCTGTCTGGGGTGAAGCAGACAGAGGGAGATCCCTAAATGTTAATAGGGATAAACCTGTGCTGTCTATAAGGAACAAAGCGAATAAGCATGAGATATGTCTTTCTCAGTTATATGTTTATGAAAGTAAATTTCTTTTGAATATAAAGAGTCTGAACACTGCATATATTCAAACTATATATATATATATATATATATTCAAACTATATCATATCTATATCTATATCTATATTATCTATATCTATATCTATATCTATATCTATATCTATATCTATATCTTATATCTATATCTATATCTAATATCTATATCTACACACACACACACACACACACACACACCCTACCCCGGTTGTGAAAACTGTCTTCCTGTTTCAGTGTTTCCTAAAAGCAGTTCTGCTCCATCCCAATTCTTCTTTCTTTTCCAGGCTATATTTATAGGATGACTGTAAGCCATAGAAAGAGAGATTTACTGTCATCGTCAATGACAGTACCTGGCAAGCCCTATTGATGTTACATATCTAAGCAAAGACCAAACTAATTGTGGAAAAACACACATCTTTATCTAGGTCATTAATACATCAAGCGAAACTCCATAAATATGGTCTCATTCGGTGGCTTGGGATCTCTGTTAGTACTCTTATGATCTCCGAAGGCCTCTTTGGATTTGACACACCAAGGCAGTATTTATGCCTCTTTGGCATATCCTTAATATTTCAATGGTGACATTGTCCTTATAGTCCTTCGAGTTCCCTCCCCGCCATAAAAGGGAAGCAGGTCCCAAAGCTAAACGAAATGTATGAGGACTACAGACATGAAGCAGACACACATCAGGTGCAGCAGGGCGCCTGCTTTGCGTCAGCTTTCTACCTACTGCCTTTCAAACAGGCAGCAAGACAATCCTTCATTTTACCTGTTTGGATGCTGAACAGGCCTCCTTTCATACAGCAGACATTAACCAGTGAAGGTGTACAGGTGTTCTCCAGAAACGTTTGGACCAGGGACGTTTGGAAACTTGCTCGTTATTTGGCAATCAGAGCACAAACATGCAATTTATCCCCCTGCCTACCTATATTCCACTCCTCAGTCAGGTGCAGGCTACTTTGACATTTACGGGACGGGTCATGGTTCTGCCAAAATCCCATTCCAGTGGTAGAGACTGAGATGGAGCTACAGGCTGCGACTGTGAAGAGAAAAGAGAAAAGGTAAGTGTGGAGAAGCCCTGTGTCTCCTTAGTTGAGCCCAACATTTTGAGAATCTTCACCACTTATAATTTAAACAGCGTCTATATTTTTGCATGAAATCTCCTCTGTAATGTTGAACAAGACCCAGATACCAAAATCCGTAAACATGCATTGCTGCAACATGAGAGAAGTGGACTCACTTCCAGAAATCATAGTCTCCAGATCTGGGGCCGAAAGCTAAAAATAGCTAAAACGAACAAGGATAGATTATTTCAGTGAAGGGCCGTTTAATGGATACATGTAACTTCCTAGCATTTTGTAAAGAGATGCTTTTAATGGTAAATGAAAAAAAGCAGCAACAAATTAGAAATCGGTTAATAAAAGCATCTTTCTCCATGCAAGACATTACGATTGTATTTAAACAATTCTCATTTTTAAATGTTGTCTTTGCTGCTGCTAGTCTGAAGTCAAGTTCACCATATTGACTAAGGCTGCAATGCACACTTAGTAAGGAATAAATCCCATTGGGCGCAGTAGGACTTACTTCTGAGTAAACATGCATAGGATTGTGCTGCATATGGTATGAACTAATTGTCGTGTGTGTGTGTGTATGTGTGTGTGTGTAGGGGGGAACAGGATTATGTATTTCAAGTTGGGCCCAACACATGGCAAATATCAAGATAGGAATGCAGTGTCTACATTAGCTAAGAATGTCGTAAATGTGGGCCAGATCCCAAACTTGCCATAATAAGACGATTCAGAGGAAAGGATTAGGACAGAGAAAACTGACTACTACATCTATTCCTGGAAATTAATTTCATATGAAAATTTATTTAGCAAGTGATATAAATAACTGTTATTGTGCCACTCCATAGACAGCAATTATGAGCCTTCATAAATCTGTGAGAATCCAGATAGATATTGAGGGACAAGCACATCTCTTCACTTGTTCACATTAACTCATAAAACTAACACAGCTATCTTCTTTTGGCTACTAGGTCAAAGATCCTCTTGCTCTCTGTTGTCCCAGCCACTGTTCATGCGCTGATCTTCAACCTGTATATGAAACTGGCTCAACAATTTTGTGGGTATCAGGCATATTACTTTTTGAAATATTGCAAGCCTACAGCATCTTGTGTTCCTGTCTCTTTTTCTGCCCTTTTTTTTAGATGTGGCGGCCATTTTTGTGTTACCTCACACAACTTGCAGCAGCCATTTGGTGACTAGCACCTACCTAGGGACACGGGTGGCGCTGTGGGTAAAAGCCTAGGGCTTGCCGATCGCATGGTCGGCGGTTCGAATCCCCGCGGCGGGGTGCGCTCCCGTTGTTCGGTCCCAGCGCCTGCCAACCTAGCAGTTCGAAAGCACTCCCGGGTGCAAGTAGATAAATAGGGACCGCTTACTAGCGGGAAGGTAAACGGCGTTTCCGCATGCGGCTCTGGCTCGCCAGATGCATCTTTGTCACGCTGGCCACGTGACCCGGAAGTGTCTCCAGACAGCACTGGCCCCCGGCCTCTTGAGTGAGATGGGCGCACAACCCTAGAGTCTGTCAAGACTGGCCCGTACGGGCAGGGGTACCTTTACCTACCTACCTACAACATTTTCTCCAAATTTCAAATGTCCTCCCTGGTCCAAAGAGGATGGCAACCCCAGCTTAATCACTTGAGGCTAATGAAATTGCATGTTTTCAAAAGAATCCGTGGATTAGAACATTCCCAAAGGAACAAAGCTTCCCGGGTTCTCGTTTTAAAATGTCAAAGATGATTTGTGTATCTGAAGAAGTGCCTCTGAAGAAGTGTGCATGCACACAAAAGATTATACCCAGAACAAACTTAGTTGGTCTCTAAGGTGCTAAGGGGCAATTTTTAATTTTTATTTATTTATTTCAGCTGCGTCAGACCAACACGGCTACCTACCTGAAAGATGATTTGTGTCACAGTCTATCCATTGTTGAATGCAAAATCCTACATATTAATAGCAAACTCATTCTCCAAGTGCGGGTAAGCAAAATGGCACCATCTATACAGAACAGAGAAGTCTCAGCAGGCTTGGAGAAAGCTCAAAGTTTGCAGAAATGCCACGACTTTTTTTTTTTTAAAAGATCCTAATGTGGGCGAGATTCCCAAGACAGCGCAGTGGTGACTGAGCATGCTCAGTGGCCACAGAATGATGTATGTTGGGAGGAGATGGCAAAGTGGAACACAGGTGAGAAGAGTGTTCAGGTCCTGTTTGTGGGACTCCCGTACACATCTGGTTAGCCACTGTTGAGAACATGATGTCAGAACAGTTGAGCCTGCAGGGAAGCTCTTAGGTTCAAACTGGGATTATATTCAGATGGCATTGCACATATTTAGTGCATTAAAAGATGAACGAAATAGGATATTGCCCCCATGGGATATCTTATTTGGGGTCTTTTTGCTGTCTACCATGAGCCGTTTTTGTCAGACACACCAGGGGGCTCCACAGTGGTTTGGAGAGTTTTCACTGGCAGAGTTTGGCAGAGGCAGGTAGCGGTTAGGGATGGAGAAGAAATTTGATTCACTTCACATTTAAAGGCGAACCTAACCTAATCTGCACATTCCAAAACAATATGAAAACTGAAACAGCCATCCTTCAAAATTCACAAAACTCCAAATTTTGTACTGAAAGTCTATTCTTGAGAAAGGTTCTTGCAGGTAAAGTCTACACCCGAGAAATTTTTCTGCGGGTAAACACACCAGTCTTAATGCAACTGAGTTCAACTTCGTTGTGGTGATTTTATCATCACTGAAACTGCGCTAAAAGGAGAGAGTGGCTGTGTGTATCTTTCTTGAAGCGAGAGTTCATCCATCAGGAAAGAGATCGGATTAAATCTTTACAGAATGCATTATAAATATTTTCATTAGAACAGCTTGAATATCTGACGTAGATAAAAATTAAGCACATATTTAGCCATGTACTCTTCCTTAACCTTTTACAGATCAGATGCTTCATGCTGTTTATCAGCTTTAATCAAATTATCAAGCATGTGTAAATGGAAAGGGGGGGGGGAAAACCGGTTGGATCCTCTACTGCACATTGATCAACAATGAACCTTGTTCATTTCAAGGGCCACTTCACTGGCATCCACGTTCCATAAAACAGCAATGGCGTGAACACAGAAGACATTCATTTATATAAGGGATTAAATGCAAAGAGGTTCATAGGGTTTCTTAGGTGAAATGCTTTGGTGAGAATTATTTCTGAAGCTTGCTAGGCACAGTAAGCTGGGGTGGGGAGGTAGGACTGCTTGAAATGATTATATTGTGTGTTACATAAGAATTGGTTATGTTTTGCTGTTTGTTGGGACTGCCAGGGAAGTTAACAAAGCTTCAGTTGCATATGTGAGTCCGTATTCCAAAAAAGAGGGGCAGGCATTTTTCAGCCCAAAGGGACCTAGTCCATCATTGGCAACCTTTCAGGGCCTGCATGCTGTTGGTGAGTGTGGCTGCAGTCAAAAGTGGGGCAAAGCAACAGAAGTGATTCTAAACCATACAAGACCTTGCATTCGAGCTGCAGAAGAAGAAGAAGAAGAAGAAGAGGAAGAAGAAGAAGAAGAAGAAGAAGAAGAGTAGTAGTAGTAGTAGTAGTAGTAGTAGTAGTTTGGATTTGATATCCCACTTTTCACTCCCTTTAAGGAGTCTCAAAGCGGCTAACATTCTCCTTTCCCTTCCTCCCCCACAACAAACACTCTGTGAGGTGAGTGGGGCTGAGAGACTTCAGAGAAGCCCAAGGTCACCCAGCAGCTGCATGTGGAGGAACGGAGATGTGAACCCGGTTCCCCAGATCATGAGACCACCGCTCTTAACCACTACACCACATAAAGGTCAGAAGTTTCTATTCAGGACGTGGAAATCTGTCGATTTCTGACTCTCCCATTTTCTCATTTTTCCAATCTTAAATTCATTTCTCCACATTTCCATATAGGTTTGACAGTTGCTGTTTTTCAAGTTCCCATGAAAATTCATCGGCACTGTTGTGTGAATTTCTCCTAATATTCACATTTTTTAAATGCAATTCTCCCTAATTAGTGACAGTAGTTTCCTGCAATATAATGCATTTTGGGGGGTTCTTTTCACTAATATATATATTTTAATGCACACTCTACTTTAGTATTTGCATTTTTTAAAACACATTGGTTGGTTGGAGAACTACCTTACAAAATTCTGGGTTCGGCCCTGGAAGTTTATGTGGTTTCTAGACCTAAGGGCAATCAATTATATAGCTTAACCTAGAACAAAATAGGCATCCATGGAAGTGACAGAAGAGTAAATAGAAAAATGCTTGAAAATTATGGCAGGGCAAGAAAATAGAACTCTTAAAGAATTTGTTATACAATGACTACTTGCTCTGGGTGCTGTGTTCCCTAATTAAATATATGTTTATATTTTAAGTGTCTGTGTTCTGGCCTGGATAGATTCTAACATAAATATAGCTCACCCCATGTATCTTGTGTAGAAGTATTTGAGTAAGAATAAAAATGGAGAATCGTACTGTTTTCTTGTTCTAAGTCTGTAGGCCGCTGCAGCAGGTATTTTGAGGGAAGTTGGGCTGAGGGAGTTAACTTACTGACTACCTGGGGACAGGCCCTTTTGGGAGAATCTGGGAACATCACAATGGCTATAAGGTTGTGTCGCATCAGTTCACCTCCTGAAATTATTTTGGGAAAGGGGAGGAGGTCTCTTGGAAGAGTTCCTATGCTGCTTGCTGTGTTTTTGTAGCCCATACGCACAAAGAGAAGGATATGAATTACAAGGAGGTATCTCAAAAGAGACATCACCTTGCCAACAAAGGTCCGTATAGTTAAAGCTATGGTTTCCCCAGTAGTGATGTATGGAAGTGAGAGCTGGACCATAAAGAAGGCTGATCGCCAAAGAATTGATGTTTTTGAATTATGGTGCTGGAGGAGACTCTTGAGAGTCCCATGGACTGCAAGAAGATCAAACCTATCCATTCTGAAGGAAATCAGCCCTGAGTGCTCACTGGAAGGACAGATCGTGAAGCTGAGGCTCCAATACTTTGGCCACCTCATGAGAAGAGAAGACTCCCTGGAAAAGACCCTGATGTTGTGAAAGATGGAGGGCACAAGGAGAAGGGGACGACAGAGGACGAGATGGTTGGACAGTGTTCTCGAAGCTACCAGCATGAGTTTAACCAAACTGTGGGAGGCAGTGGAAGACAGGAGTGCCTGGCATGCTCTGGTCCATGGGGTCATGAAGAGTCAGACATGACTAAACGACTAAACAACAACATCTCAACTGACCATATCAATCAGCAATGCAACCTCCATTGGAGCCACAATAAATTCTTCTGACTGAGCGGACTGGATCCTGCAGCTCTTCAGGACAAGTTGCCAATCCATTGCCTCACTCAAGCAAAAATCATCGTGACCACAGCAAAACTCCCAAGAGGCAGAAAATGACATTTCCTTCCCTTGTGGCTTTAAGAGGCCATGGGGAAGGGGAGAGGTTTTTAATTTCCAAGTCCTGGATTTTTCCTGGTTCCATTTGAGAAAGAGTCCAGGCTTGAATGACAAGCAGGAATCTTCTCAGTGCAGCAAACCTGCAAGTGCAGAAGGCTTCAAACCAGCTTGGTTTTCTACGTAAATCTGCTAGTTGAGGGACCCACAATTGAAAATTGTCAGGAAACGGATCTCCCCTCTGCAGCCATTGCCCCTTGATGAGAAAAATCGTATTAGTCAAGCCACAGAAATAAGTCTTGAAAGCACTTTAGACAAGGGAAAGATGCTGATCAGCGATGTTGATGCAGAGGTTCTGAAGGAAACTTTCAGCTGAGAAATGACCAGGTGTTTGCTACCGGTTCAGCTAAATGGAAGCCACCATTTGGCTCTCTTTGGCAGAAAGAGCAGAAGGGTCTCAATTCAAGTCTTAACCGCAATAATATGGAAGGAGCACACAAAGTATATTTAACCTCCAGATGAGGGAGGAAGGCAGTAATTGGGTTTGTCTGTTCTCATGTCTGGCCACCAGCTGACAATTCAACAGCTGACCTCTCTGAACCAATCCTGACTGCAAAAAGGAAGGCCTGGGTTGAGGTCATTTTTGGGTGGGCAAAGGTGTGGGCTGGTTCCTATTTAGACTGAACTGCTTCACCCATCTCTAGTTACTCAATGTCATTACAAAGTACTCAAATAACATAACATGCCACATGCTGAGAACATAAAATGCACTCGGGACTGTAAGGTTCCAAAGTGTCCAATGTGTTTGCAACATGTAGGGGAAAGGAAACCTCAGAGTGCTTGAACCAAGTTCAGTGAATCCAAATGCTTTTTGTTTGACAAATGTTCTGAAGAAATGCCCATTTTTGTCACTCACCTAGGCTTGCTACCTGTTCTTGATTTCAAGAAATGGCTTTTCCTTTCCCCTTAAAATAGATTCTTTAAAAAAGATTTTTTTAAAAACAGCTGCTCCAGAGGTTCATATATAACACAATGTGACTGCCATTTCCATTCTGACATTAGCCTGAGAAGAGCCATGCTCAGGCATTGAACACACAGTGTTGAAAACAGAGGAAGAGGGCAGGGGCATGCACATAAGTGCACCCACAACATCCCGCAGGCACATGCACATAGAAGTCTCCCTATGATCTGAAGCCCCAACTAATCAGCATACCTGATTTCCAAACACACGCAACTGGATGTGCTTAGAAACTTGTGCCCATCAATGAAATGACAGTGGTACATTCTCTATCAAAGAACCCATTATAATTACTGGTCAGTGCCCAATATTCCACTTTTGAGTATGGTGCTTGAGCATTGAGAGGCAACTAGGGATTTATGAGCATGCCTCAATGCATTCCAATATTCTGTTGCATTTCCATCTGGTATTTTCCATTAAAATATATGCAATCAACAGATATTTCCAAACCAGTTACCGTACTTTTCCTATGTGTCCCCTTTCAAAGTTAATGGCATGGCTAACGATCCATCTCAAAGTCATATATGTCTTCAAGCATAACTATGTCTAACCAGAAGTACGTCTCATTAATTGAATGGGGCTTGCTCCCACGATACAATTCCAGCCACTCTTGCTACCTTGATTTCATAGTTCATAGCCCTCCAGTTGTCACCCTACTTTATTTCCCTCACTCAGGCATCAGGGAGGGACAGTTTAATTATAAGTCAAGTAAACTGTGGTGGGGGGAAGGAACATTAAATTTAATTTTACTTTTAAAATGAGAATTTAGGGTGCTCAAAAATGAGCAGTCAAATCCAGATGGTTCCCCCACTTTGACAGAGACAAAGGTGTGAGGGTACTATTTTGTGCTGCCCCTAGCCTTTCTTTGTAGGTGAATCTCAAAAAGCAGTATTGGGGGGACTTGTGCTCAACCCCTTGATACCTGTGGTCTATAGGGTCCCACAAGATTTGATGTTGTTTCCTATGCTATTCAACATTTACATAAAACCACTGGAAGAAATCATTAGGGAACAGGAATGATGACCATGGGATGGTATGCTGGTGACATTAAGCTCCATATCTTTCTGCTATCATGTCCTACGAAGCCTGTGGAGTTGCTAAATCAGCAACTGATATGTTGGAAGAAGATAAACTGAAAGTAAATCTAGAAGTGTGGAAACCTACCAGTCCAGGAATATGATGTCCTAGCTGGGGCTGCACTTCCCTTAAAAGATCAGGTGCATAGTTTTTGTTTACACTTGGAACTGACCTTGCTGACAGATGCTCAGATGTCAGCTTTGGCCATGAGTTATGTCCACAACCTGATGTACTAACTATTCATTCATTCATTCATTCATTCATTCCACCCTATTCATTTCACTCCAGAGGAACCACAATACAAACAGGGTAACGGAATGTAAGCGATTGTTTGTGGACTGAAAGCAACAGCAACAATGAATACTGATCATATTTGCTGAGTTGATTTTCATTCCAGACGTAGATATCAGTGAACACTGGCAATTTCTGCTCCTGTTTTCATCAATTTTTCAGACATCCATAGTGATAGTAGAAATAACACAGAACTTGAAAATCAGTGGGAGATAAGGTATACATCGTGTTTGTGTCTAGGACAAATGAAAGGTGCTCATTTTTTACCCTTTCAGGATTGTGCAGGTGTATGTCTTGAGGATTAAAAGACCAGAGTATTAATTCAAATGCACTCGGCATACTCGTACTGTAGAGTGGAATAATCTTATTATCCCCTTCCATCTTGTGATGCGGGGGGAATGTAACAGAGGTCACTGATCTGAATTCTGAGCACATAAACCTGCATGATTCTCATCTGGCAAACATTATAACTTCCCCATTTCTAACTGTAATTTTATATATCTGTTTTACGGAGTCACTTGTTTGGCGATTATAAATTATGGTATTTGGGAGAGGCCTGGTGAAGATATTCACCTTTTAGTGGCCCAGACTTTTATGTGTGTGTGAGAAAACATGTTTTATGCTTCGAATTTCTCTCTCTTTTCTTTTTTCATTGCTAACAGATGCAGCTCTACTCAGAGCCAAGCGACTGCACATAACACATGCACAGAGAAAAAGAAAGGGAGCAGCCCTACCAACAACATAAAACTAAGTTGAGTGTGCTTTTAACTGACATGAAGAACAAGTAATGAGCTATCACAAAACAGAACTCCAGCTTCTATATTTAACAGATAATTCTGTAACCATCGTATTTTGCTTTCTTAGATTAATGCAACTTTCTCTCTCTCTCTCTCTCTCTCTCTCTCTCTCGTAACATCTGGGAGAGGAAAAGATGAAAGCTGGTATGAAGAGCCGAGAAAACGACTACATGTTTGACAACTTCTTGCAGGACAGAAATGTCTGGTCTTTTGGGCATCTGAATGCAAATGATTAGCCAGTTGCCAAGAACAGTCATTCCAGTCTCAATCAGAAGGCTCCAACCCCACCCTCAGCCAGAGTTTCAAGATACGTTTTGTGTTTGGTTGGAAATGAAAGGCTCCCACATTTTTTCTGATGTTAGCATGCAAAGTGGTTGGGGTTTTTTTGGCAGGGGAGGGGGAACCAGATTAGGGAAGGTATAGAAACTGATGGAGCCTGTTACTTGCCACCTTCTCTGTTCTTCAGACACCCAACCTAGTTCCACTTCTGAAGCTGAGGAGGCCTTACGTAGATTGAATGGGAGATTGCCTGGAAACTCCTTTATATGTCACCTTGACCTCTTTGGAGGAATCACAGGATAAAAATGTAATAAATTAAAATAAATATACTCAACAAAATTAAGTACAGAACACGAAAATCTGTGTATTTCTTACATTTTTAAACTGCTTTCAAGACAAGAACTCCCGGAGCAGTATGAAAGCCTTAAAATAGAATATTGCCCTTGACTGGGAATCGGATAGATGACATGTTCTTGATGGAGTTGCATTTCCCCTGAAGGAACAGGTGCATAGCTTGGGAATACACCTAGAGACCTCAGCCCAGTATACCTGAAGGAGCGTCTCCACCCCCAACGTTCAGCCCGGACACTGAGGTCCAGTGCCAAGGGCCTTCTGGCGGTTCCCTCACTGCGAGAAGCAAAGCTACAGGGAACCAGGCAGAGGGCCGTTTCGGTAGTGGCACCCACCCTGTGGAATGCCCTCCCATCAGATGTCAAAGAGATTAACAACTACCTAAAATTTAGAAGACATCTGAAGGCAGCCCTGTTTCGGGAAGTTTTTAATGTGTGACATTCTAATGTCTTTTTAATCTTTGTTGGAAGCCCCCAGAGTAGCTGGGGAAGCCCAGCCAGATGGGTGGGGTACAAATAATATATTATTATTATTATTATTATTATTATTATTATTATTATTATTATTATTATTATATCAAAAAATTAGCTGCTACCTGATGTACAGGTTCCCTCTACCTGTTGCATTATGATGGCACCATTTTAGGAGGTGACATGGCAGTCACAGACTGAGGAAGAATTTGATTGTCTGAATTATACCTCTTGAAACAAGTGGACCCAAAGAGCAAAAGAGCTGTATGTAAAACATCAGCTGTTCAAACCCATAGACCTTACCACTACTGCTTCCTCCTCCCTGTGACCCTTCTCTCTCCTGTTATTGCCTCAATAGGACCTATTCACACACCACCTGTGACCGAAAGCTGGAAAACAGATATGGCACATGTTAAATAAAATACCATGCTGAACAGAAAAGTACAGAGTTATCAAAATGATGGCACCGATAACATTAAACAGTAAGGCTTACAGCAAGTCACTGTATGCCGAAATGGCAAAACTAACCGGAAAGCTCAGGAACCAAGAAGACCAAAACTTCAATAAAGAATGGGGGAAATTTATAATTGACTTGGGAGACCACTGAAAGCAGATGAAAACATTAGCAGGATTACGATAACACTTGTAATGTGGAAGATATTATGGACAAAATGGAGAAACATCCAATTTGGATGATGACATAATATGCAGTTGAACAGGTTTATGATAGGACGCATGGAGGGGAAGTGGGAAGTCTAGAGATTCGGAGAAATCTCTAAATATGGATATGCATTTTGTATTGTTATAACTCTACATTTGTAAAGTCAAATAAAAATTATTTCAAAATAACTAAATAAATAAAGCAATTCACTGTAGACCGTGTTCCAGTAAGGCATGCATGCATTCTAATGACATCAACAGATGTCCAATTGGAATCAAGACTGCAACTTAAAGGAACAGGGTATTACTATTACTATTATTATTTATCCTGGAGGGATTTTGGGGGACTATATTAAATATTCAGGAATGCCACAAGATTGTGGTCATCTCTCCATTCTTGACTCAACTAGATGTGGAAGTCTTTTGTGGCCCACAGTGCAGTGCAGCACCGGAGCTATCCTTCAAAATGGTCAAAATATATGAGCAGAAACCCACCCTCCATCTATAACACCCCATTGCCATGTGCCATTGTGATCTCACATTGTGGATCCCGTGCCAAAGCTCTTGGAAATTTGAACACATGCATGCTCAAGGATATCAGATGCACAACTGTTCTGTACTTTGACTCAAAGGGATATGTGATCACTCTTTTCAAATATTGCCCTAGAAACCAATTTGTCTCTTGGCAGACACTCCGCACTTCTACAGGAAACAAAATTTAAATCCTTAGGCATAACATCTTAGTTGTGCCGGCCTGTTTTGTTTGTATTCCTTGAATAATATCTGTGCCCTCACACTTGGCTCTGCTTAAGTCCAGATATGATCTCTGCTTCCTCTTCATTATTACTTCATAGGAGTAAAACTCCAGAGTTAAACGTAGGGTTATCCATTACTTAAATGAAAAAACCTACAACTTGCCAACTCTGGGAGCCCTGTTCATTGACTTCCACACAGTGTTTACCTTGGGATTTCCACGCAACTGGCTCATAATGGCTCTGTTTGAGCAGCTCTATAGAACTGGTCTTTGTCAGTCTTGGCTTCCTCAGTCCACAACAGGTGGACCAGCCAATGGGTGTTCAGGGAATAAACAATGGAACAAGATGAGATGTTAAAAACAAAAACAGAGTAGTGGTCGAGCAATCAATCAAAAATACGATTCCCAAATAAAAGAGGGGAAGGGAATAACAGCCGAAATGGAAAGGTTTTCAACATAAATGATGCATAGCAGCGTACAGCTGGAAATGGTGAAAAGAGAAATTCCGGGCAGCTTCCATCAGATATGGAATGATACTGAGAGCCACTCTGCGCATTGCTTTTTTTTTTTAATAGATACATATAAAAAGCTGCATGTGTGTGCATGACAATGCAATGCTCAAACAGAGCAACAATGTTTGCAATTTCATGTATCAGCCAAAGGTACATGTTAGGGATCTAATATTGGCTAGAGTCTCATGTCATATGTAAGCATGCCTGCCAGACGTGTTGTGTGACATGTTCCTGAAGAAGGAGAATTAAATGGCAGGATATGGACGTTGTGTTTTGTGCCTGATCTCCTGGGATGAATACTTGAAGGATGAATGCCATGACTGTTGAAGTATTAGTCAGTTAAACCTAATGAAAGAAAACTGAAAGCTGTTCTACCACCGAGCTGCAGTCTATCCTCTTGGCACCTAAAGGGAACAGCCCAGCTAAACTGAGCCGGTTTTTGATTCACATGAATTTTAAGGAGAGAGCTTAAAATCAAGTTTCAGTTTCTTCTGTTCTAGTTGACGGGACTTTGAGGTGTTTGGTTGAATCATGCCCAGAGTCATATACAGTGGTACCTCGGGTTACATATGCTTCAGGTTACATACGCTTCAGGTTACAGACTCTGCTAACCCAGAAATATTACCTCGGGTTAAGAACTTTGCTTCAGGATGAGAACAGAAATCGTGCTCCGGCAGTGTGGTGGCAGCAGGAGGCTCCATTAGCTAAAGTGGTGCTTCAGGTTGAGAACAGTTTCAGGTTGAGAACGGACCTCCAGAACGAATTACGTACTTAACCCGAGGTACCACTGTACATTCGACTCCAATGCAGTTTAAAGCTGGGTTCTGTTTTCTCCTCTCTTTATGTGGGTGGGCCGTACTATTTCATTCCATCTAAAATCCACGATGCTAGGCCCCTCGTCTGCTGGTAGCAGCAACATGAACATTATAGTGATTTATAATACCTGCCTCCTTGGGGACGGGTGCATTACACTGGGCACTAAAAGGGGCCAGTTGTGCAGGTGGAAGTCTTGTTCAAACAAATCTGAAGTGAAGTTGGGATATAAAGGAGGTCAGCAGCTCAACACAAGCCCAGAGGACTGAGTAGGAATGGCTAAAACGTTGTATAATAATATACAAACTCTTATCAGAGACTCTTCAGAGAGAATCTCCTCTTCCTCCCCCAAAAAACAAATCAATGTCTAAAAACAGTTTAATTGTGTTTTCTAAATATTTATGTGAGGGGTCTTTTGGTTCTGGATTCTCCAAAGGCCATCTTGCTGCCTGCAAAATCCAACTGATGGGAGGCAAAATAATGTCCATGCTTAACTGAATATAATTTTTGTCCATCAGATTGATATGAATGTTTTCTTGTACTTTAAAACAGCTCCTCCAAAGCAGTTCCGAGATCATGTTTGATTTTTAAGAGCTGCATCCAAAAACCCTAGCTGCTCATTCGAACGGCTCTCAATCCCATGGGGCTCTGAAACAGCCTGGCACCCTCATAAAAACAAGCATTTCGTGTGAGATTTCTGGCTCTTGTCTCCTAGGATCCAAGCCAGAAACATCACTTTGTGAAGTTATGGCTCCAGCCCTGGATACAGATTGGAAGCATAAAAGTCCAAAAACACTTACTCTAAACATTTCAGGGCCTCAGAGAAGCCCAGTCCCTATTTGAAGTAAAGGAAGTTTGGGTGTTCCATTACTTTTCCTCTATATATTTCGAACCGTGTCTCACCCCTGAATTAAATATTAAAATATGCCTACATTCTGGGTGTGTGGGTGTGGGTGATATTGTTATAGCATCTTGTTTAGATGGCACTTTAAATCCTGATCCTACCAACACACATAGTCATAGAATGCAACATGGCATAAGGAAGCATCACCATAATGCTGCTCTTTGTGAGGTGTGGTGACAGTCTGTCCTGCAATGCTGAATGAAGTTCAGGCTATGAACTGCTTCAGCCCTGTCCATTTGCCAGCAGCAGCTCTGACCCCCCAAGAGAATGCAGCCTCAGCAATAGAGCTTACTTCTTCGAAGACACATATAGGACTGCACTGAGAGTGCCTTCACACCATCCCTTTACTTGCTTTGGTATTCCTTTCCTATTTTGTTATGTGGATTTTGACAAAAGCCCTGCTAACTTTCACAGCTCGGCCACAAACCAAGCTTCCAACTCTTCTGGCTTATGCAACCAACAGTGAAACATAAATCTTTAAACAATTGCTGAAGTGTTGGGGTTACCGTGACCCCACATCAGTTAAACTAATTACTTGTTAGAAGACATATCACCACTGCTGTTGCTGCTACTAAGTATTTATCTGGGAAAGCATGGAGTTTTTTGGGGGGGAGGGGTCCATACACTGCAGTGCAAAAACAATGATAATTACCTCTTGTAACGGACTTGTCTTTTCTAATGTGTATTATTAGGGTGGCCCATTTTTCATGGAGCAGATTCAAAACATGTTGTTATGGGACTGTTTTAGTGGGGGAAGGCAGATTCTCACCTACTCATCTGTAACAAAGGAACAACTTCAGACTGTCAAATGAAACACCAGTGAAATAAACATGAGAAGAGGCATGGCGCGCATTGGTCAGGCAGGGCATTATATGACCCATGAGAGCAGCAAAATAACCAGACTGTACAATGGTGATGGGATTTGTTGTTGTTGCTTAGTCGTTTAGTCATGTCCGACTCTTCGTGACCCCATGGACCAGAGCACGCCAGACACTTCTGTCTTCCACTGCCTCCTGCAGTTTGGTCAAACTCATGCTGGTAGCTTCGAGAACACTGTCCAACCATCTCGTCCTCTGTCGTCCCCTTCTCCTTGTGCCCTCCATCTTTCGCAACATCAG